GGGCGCACCTGGAAGCAAACTTAAAGGTTATACTGGGTCAACGCATAAAACATTTCCTCCAAGCAAAAAAAAAAGATCTAAATGTAATAATTGATAAAATTATCAAGAACTTGGTTAAGCTCTAGTTTTATAGGTGTCGTCAAAACTCCAGTTTTACTCAAAGTTTAAATTGAAGTTAAAATTTTAGATTTATCATGTGATGATGGTTTTGTACTTTTTATTTTTTCTTTCCGCGGCTAATTTCAGCCCTCGCACAATGACCATTTGTGGACAGTTGCTAAAACCTTTATACGTCCAATTTCCCAACGTTTTATTTTTGATTTCGCTTTTATTAGTTCTTTTGTTGTCTTATTTATTACGATTTATAATATTTTAGTATTTATAACGTAAATATATTATAATAATAATAAGTCGAACTGAGGTTGACGGTAACTTATAAAACTAGTCGTACAAATCTTAAGTTTAAAGGAAACGTTGGCAATCACCTGATGTCCAATTCAACAATGATTTAAAATTTTCGCTTGACGAGCCCCACATTCGAGTCAGAAATTCGATTCTTTTTTAATTTTTGTTTATTGGAAAAGGCGGCTGTAAACAAAACCGAAATAGGTATAGAATCGCGTCCTGTATTCCTTAGCGTAGCTGTCTGTTTTTTTCTTCACCAATGGCACGTTTGAAATTTTTGAATTTAAACGGAACGTCTTTGGTCGGACATTATCACAAAAGCAAATCAATTAATATATATTTTTTTCTTTTAAATACATATAACCTAGTCGGCCGATTCGGTTTCTTGTCGCTTTCTTTTCCCTTTTGAAATAGTCACAGCGCTAAAATGTACAGTCAAACGGCTTTCAAACCGTGCCGATTCAGATCGAAAAATATTTCGTTTTTAGAAAACGGGGAAACTAAGGCCAACGTCGTCCCGTTCGCTCTCGCGCCGAAATTAACCCTAAATAAAAATCACAGAATTTCGTTTTCGCGCAAGAACAAAATCACACCTTCCCGCGTCAAGAAAAATAAGTACTTTGAGTGACAAGACTATTTTCTTTAATTCTCCATTTTTATTTTGTTTTAATACTCATAAGTACGCAGGCGCCGCTGCAAATGTGACAGCTACGCTAACTCAGTTGCCAAAGTATACTAACTAAATATAGTAGGATGTCCGGAACTTGCCTCATTAATTATTTAAGAAATGAGACAAATAAGAGATGGGGCTGGGGGGTCGCCTCGTAATTGAGGAGCCAAATGTCCCTTGACTAATTCACCTTCTTCTTGAGTTGTAACGAGCGTTGTCGCATTGGGTAGAATAAAGGGAGAAAAACGGATAAAATGAGTGGTAAATGGGTTGGTGTCTAAATTTTTAACAAGACGCAGACAAAGACATTAAATTCAAGAAAGGATCACGCAAAGTAATAGTATTGGCATTGCAGGAGACGTACACATTTACGTCACATCATCTGTACGCCAATAAGATCGACACAGAAACAAAAAAAAATATTTAATGAAACATTTGTTGATCAGTTGATTCCAGTAATAGGGATAAGAGGACTGCTGCAGATAAATCAAAACTACTGCAAAAAAAAACTGCAAAAATGAAGCAGATACACCATTTTTCTGTAAGCTTCACGATGGAACTCAATAATTCGAATTAACTAAAGACAACTATATAACACACAATTGTTCTTTGATCCTCAATTCTTTGAGAATTTTTCAATACCACTATCACCAACTTACATATATCACGTTTTCCTTATTCTATCCTGTCAATAAATCATTTTTTCAATGTTTTTATTTGATTTTTTCAAAAGCTACTCAACAATTTCTTTTTGCAGAATGTCACACTTCCAAGCTTGTTTCTCAAATCTGTTTTCAACTCTCATTCTGCCATTTGAAATTATTTTCAATAATTCCTAGAGGTAGGTATTCCAGCAAAAATAAATTTTTAAAAAATTGTAGGAATATAATTAATTTTTTAATATTTCCCTTGTTTGGTACCGTTTAAGAAAATATTATACTACGTATAGGTAAATAAGCCGAACAAGGTCAAAATTCGAAATAAGCAGGTCAGTTCTGTAAACCGTATGTCGATTCTTAAAATAATGAAAATATTTTTGTCGCTCTAAAGTACTAATCTTTCCGGATATGCGGATTTGGAGAAAACAATTTTCAAGTTGGCGCCTGGACGTCGCAGCGAGCGAACCGACGAAACGCGGCGCACACTAACAACATACTAAGATTACACAATAATAATAATAATAATAATTATAATAATAATAATAACATAGAATTAGATAATAAAAAATTGGCACATTATTATTTACACTCGTTTACTGAAATTGAACCCTGGAAAGATATGTAGTTCAGACTTCGCCTCTGGACGTTTCGAGTACGTCGTCATCATCATTAGAACATAAATACAGACATATAACACTAATAGTTCATTTTTGAGGTGTCGGTTTTGAGTCCCGGCACCCATCCCTTAATCTTAATATTTTTTATTCTTTCAGAAGAGAATTAATCACATCGCGGGAGATATTTAACATTATACCTAGTCGGGATGTTTTTCACTTGCCACTCGATGACTACTTTACGTCAGTTGCATTTCGATCGGTTACGAATCTGTCGGTCGACTTCATATTCAAAATTTTAACCTCTGAACAATAATCCGGTCGAATGGAGATGACCTCTATAGAAACTGTAATCCGCTATCGATATTAGGTATTGGTATCTAATGTGTCATTTTTAAAGCTAGCCAAATGTTTGTTTATTCACAATTAAGCTGTAAAAAAGGATTTTCAATGGATGCGAATTGGTGATTGTGAGATGCAATTGGTAGATTTTCAGAATAGCGTTTGAATTTTGAAGTCGAAAGATTGACACCTAGCCAACCAGACAGATTTAGATTTGATAAAATTTTTTGAACATGTTGTTAATGAAAACAAAAAAAAACCACCACACCATTATCAAATAACGGTAAAGTATGTTTAAGGTGATTTAATTATTCCAACCCTGGTAAGTCTGGTAAACAATTTGAAAAATTGCCAATCCTTTCTGTTTAATCGAAATATGTTTTTATAGGTTATAGGACATTGCAGGCAATGAATCCCAAATTTCAATTTTCCATTGCAAATTGAAGTCCGCAAAATCCTAAATCCTATAAAAACAATTTTCGAATTTAGTAATCTTGTTCTTTTCCCAAAGAACTTAAAATTATTAGCTACATATAAAAGTTCACTGTTCAATTGATATGACATATACGAAGACATTCAAGGTTAATTTAAAATATTTTATTAATTTTAAATTATCGCAAAAGTTCACTGATTGCAAATATGAAACGTTTGACGACTAAGAATGAGTAGAGACGTTTTGCTGCTTTGGAACCAATTAATTGACAGACATAACAACTTGAAACATTTAGCAACTTGTTAGGCATTGTTCTCAGCATTAAGCAATATTATCACAAACCAACGGAACTGCTTAAGAGACGAAGTCAGTGCCGTTTGCTTGTCCTTGAAATGTACCACTTATGTAGAAGCAGGCAAATTTCAGTCCAAATAAAATCACTAATCAATATCAATCAATAATTTTCAAGTCATTTAATTATTTATTACGTCATTAAATGCAAATAATTGGGTTCACAATTTTAGTTTTTATATTGTAAATGGCAGAAAAGAAACAAATAAATTAACTTATACAAATTGTAAATAGTCGTATTTTTCTTAGTTTTCATTTTATAAGTGGTATAAAGCATCTATAAAGAGTACCATTTAGTTTTTTTTTCCTTTTTGCGTTTTAACAAATTTGCGCTTATCAAATGCTTGTGATATTTTTTTAAAAATAAAATAAGACAAATGTATTTTGTGTTTGTGGTAAGTATAAAAGAAAATAATACACAATTGTGCTCCCGAACCGGCTTTGCTTATCTACGAACAACAATATGCATTTTTGTGAGTTTCTCTATTATTTCATTTTATAACAAAGATACCTTAAAAACTGGGATTAATGTAAAAAGATAACAATAGAAAAAAATATAGAAAGGAAGGTTTATTATCCCAAATAAGTCTTAGGACCATAGGAGTCTATCGAGAAAAATTGGGGGCAATAAGATAGAGGACACTCTTTTCTGCCGGTTTATATTTGCAACATTCACATGAAACTGTAACCCGACAGGACAATTACATGCACCCAGTTTTAACAGCACACGAGAAGAACGTTGAGATTTCTATATAAAAAGTTATTTTTTGATCCATTCATCCTGCCATCTTATCGGCTTCCTTTGTATACGCGAAGTTGTTTGCAACAGTCTGCAGTTCTCGGCCCTTGTTGATATTTATTTCCAAATTACTACGAAACTTTCCACAAAAGTTTCGCAAAGGCTATAATGTTCGATTCATCGAATAATTTGATAAGCATGCGCGTGCTATCAACATATAACAGATAACACGTATCTTTATTTTGTTTTGCAAACAGCGAAGATTCGTACCGATCTAAATGTCACTTCATTACGAGTACACAAGTGGGACTGTTAAATATTCCGACCCTAAATGTTTTGGCCACCAGGAAGAATAGATTGCGAGTTAATGAGCATTTCTTGGCGAACGGACCGGATAATATTGATATGGTGCGAAGATATGTCGGAAAGTTTGCAGTATATTTTTCGGAAAGCGCCGCTCCTTGAGCGCAGTCACAAAAAAAACGAGTTTGCCCTTCTGCCTCAAGTCGGAAACCGAAATTTTAGGTGTCAAGAATAAAAATCACGAAAACCTACGAATTTGTACTTTCATTTCTGGAGAGGCCGTGCGTAGCCCTGCGATTCACTGTGGTCTGGCTGGCGGCGAAACCGCCCCGGCGGTGGCCACCCCCAGCACGCTTTTGATGGCCGTCGTCTTCAGCAGGCGTTTGAGCATGCCGCTAGAGCCTCGGTGCTGCAAACTCTTGTGGGTCGTGAGCGAGTTCTTGGTGCGGTACCGACGATGGCAGAATTCGCACACGTACAGTGTGTCCGATTGTTCGTGTTTATCCTGAAAGTGCCTCTTCAGGCTGTAGTAACAGCTGAAAGTGCGACGGCAGTATGGGCATTCCTGGGGCTCGTTGATCCCGCCCGACGTCGGGGGTGGCATGCGTACGGGGCCTGCAATTGCACCAAGATGGGGTCGGATGGCGGTCTGGTGGACGAAATCGGACGGGCGACATGCAAGCTGAAAGCGGCACGACAACAACGTGTAACCTACAGGCGCTAGCGAGGCTAGGGGTTGAAGCGGGGAAACCGGGAGGATCGTAGATGGGACTTGGGGTGGCCTTTAACAACATTGGACGTCGGACTCCGTCGAATATCTTCGCATATAGGGTAAACCGTTTATTATCGGACGACACCTTTATCTCAGAACCTAAAAAAGTATTGAAAAAAATCTCACAAAGCGGCGTAGTAAACCAAAAGTAACCAAAGAACGCACAAGAGGTTTACATCATGTTGATTTGCTTGGAAGTTTTAAACGTTAAATGTGTGGAGGGGATTTATTAACTTTTAATTATATTAAGTTAGAGACAGGAGCTGTTTAAAATCAATTATACTCTTAAAATGTTATGTTGTTCTACATACACGACATTCTTATTTTAAATATGTATTATAAAACTTTTCATAAACATGGTAGTCCAATAATGCGGGTTCATTTATAGCTCTCAAATAATTTATTTTATTGACAAATTTTAAAATACAAACGTTTTTTGTTTGGATGTTCTGTTGAAATGTCTCACAGCACCAAACTTCCCTATTTGAAAAAAAAAATCACCTATTCTGATTCTATATTATTGATTAATTATATTATTAATTACAAATGTTGATAGATATTCTGGATACTGCGCCATTTTTTCATTTTTGATTCGTAATGGTAGGCTGTAAGCTAAACGAAAGAATCCTTCTTTCGAAATTGATATTGAAAATTTATTTATCGCTTGATGTGAAACAAAATTTAATTGTACATCCATTGGTCATTATATTAAAAGTCAATTAAAATCTAAATTTATTTCTGGTTAGCATTGATTTTCACAATGTTTGACTTGTTTTTGCGTCAAAGGAGTTCTCTGGAGAGACTCTGGAACCGACCACTTAGATCACTTGATCTGAGCTTTCTGGAGTGTAAATTTTGAATGATGTATTTATGATACTTGGAAACGCTTATGCTGTACAAGGAAGCACAAGATCGGTGATTAACAATTTAGCAATTTATTTATCCCTGAGAGATTGCGTTATTTTTATGGCCTTTTTAAAACAAGAAACTATATATTGTGTTCTCTAAAACTTTTTTCTATTCTAAAAACGCCAAACACAGGACTGCTGTTATAATAGCAATTTTACAAACCTTTTCGAATAGTCAACCTTATACAAATTACCTTTTTTTTAAATGTCAGATACGACAAAATTATAAAAACGGGATTTTCATATTAAAAAAAAAACTTTTAACGTTTTTTTTAAATTAAATTTATATTACATTTTGAGCACCATGTAATTACTTATTCTTAAAATATCAACACGAATCGATAGACATCACGGCATAGAATTTGACATATGTATGAAATATCTCTGGAATTTTACAAATAATTCCAAATCGCCTTAATATACATTCGTCCGCGAAATGAGAAACACCCTGCATAAATAACAATATACGATCTGATATTTTTTACAAGTTTCTGAGATAAGGTTTCACCCCATAAAAAAAGGACCACTATGTACCTACCTATTCCAGAATTTTTGGGATGTCTCATGTGTCCTTGCGAAATGTAAATTCAAGGGTTTCCAGCTTCATAGCGGATGATAGTATCAACTGAAGTCAGTTTACACTAAACTCACTGAAACGCTAGCTGTTAACCCCATTAAAGGAGAAGTCGGTCTTGTTCGATGGGATAATATTAAATAATAAATTGTATCGACTACTTCAGAAAAGTCTAGAGTAACATGAAAAATGCCGTTCAGTTCCGGTCAATTTCGTTATCAGCCATAGGCGTAGATAAACTTTGTGCTATAATATTATTTTTGATCCCCTATTGCCTGGAAAAGGAAAGGAAATATTTTTTGTCTTGAGGAAACTTCGATTGATGTAGGTTATTAGTACCAAAAATTTGGCAAGACAAGAAGATTGTCTAGAGTACACGATAAAGAAGGAAGAAGAACTTATATGGGAGTAAGTACAAGGATTTGTAGCAAGAAACAACACGACATTTAAAATAGAAAATCTTAAAGTACTGTATGATCAAGCCATTGAGGAACTGAGTAGAGAACTGGCGAAAAGTAATTCAGCGTGTCATTCAAGAAGAGGAGACAATGTGGGCTGTTGACCACTTCTCCTTAATTACGTCATCAAGAGGAGGTGACAAGCACCTTATACAGTGCCCAAGTTTTATCCTGTTAAAATAAGTGTTTTACCGGAGCGTCTACTCTACACAGTTTCCGAAACATACTTGAGTTATCATGAATGCGGTAGGTCGGTATATGAACCAACGCAAGAACCTGTTTTGGCAATGCGAACGAACAGGTATCGGAATGACAAAATGGTGCTGGACCACGCAGACGAAGTGAAATATTTTCATGTAAAATTTCTTCGGACCTCCGTTCGTTCCGTTGCGTTCTGCTTTGCAAAAATCGGAAAAGCGATATTTTGTTTGTTTTGTGTTAGTTAGGAGTTATTGGGTTGTTTGCAGAATTTTATAGTTATTAAATCAACTTTCTCTGAAGTTTTATATTTTCGTATTTTTTGAGACCGGTTCAAATTAAGAGTTACAAGTTACGACAATGATGGTAACCAACGAGCTGCAAAAATTAAGTACTCTAAACAATAACAAGAAAAATGAAATAATAATAATTAACATATTTACAAATTTTAAGAAAACTTTTAATGCATTTTATTATCCAAGCTATAATGACAAATAACTAATCAAAACTAAGTACAAATGAAGAAAAATCTGTATTTCAATAAAATCTTCAATACATACAAAAGTAATATCAATATTATCTTGTTTTGGGTCAACACCACAACAATAAGACTCCAAACAGCAAAAAATAATACGGTCTACCTGATATTTCCAATGAATGGAAACCATAAAATGATGCCAAACCATTCGATAAGTAATTTAAAAGTTAATTCCTTGGTAACTTAAAAAAATATGGCGTTCTATTTAAATTAATCAAGCTAGTACAAGCTGTACAACATCTCGTTTAACCCAACCAAACTGTAGTTCATCTACGAACTGCTGTCGAGCATGAATATCATCATGGACGAAATTTAATAACAGCGCCATTCAGTAAAATAACGTTTAGCAGCAATTGCCAACACTTTTTGATATACGTGCAAGCACTCGAGAAAAGAAGAATGCATCCGACAAGAAACAGCTGATTGATAATACCTAAATGTTTGTGTGGCTGTTTGAAAATTTTAGTAAAGGATTTTGTTTTATTGCCAGCAACATACATTTTGATATTAAGGATATATATATATATATATATATATATATATATATATATATATATATATATATATATATATATATATATATATATATATATATATATATATATATATATATATATATATATTCATGTATTGATTCACGGATGGAAAAATGTGATGACACTATATTCCGGGATATCATCCGTTCGCTCGTTGAACTCCGACTGGAATCCTGCAGACGTTTCGCCAAAATCTCACTTGGCATCTTCAACGCTCGCGCTCCGAAAACACTTCGAACCCAGTGTTCGAAGTGTTTTCGGAGCGCGAGCATTGAAGATGCCAAGTGAGATTTTGGCGAAACGTCTGCAGAATTCCAGTCGGAGTTCAACAAGCGAACGGATGATATCCCGGAATATAGTGTCATCATATATATATATATATATATATATATATATATATATATATATATATATATATATATATATATATATATATATATATATATATATATATATATATATATATATATATATATATATATATATATATATATATATATATATATATATATATCATTTCATATTAAAAAGTTATTAGGCTTACCCTTACAAGTCTAAATAAATATAAATAAATAAATCTGGGATTCATCCTAATGTTAAAGCATTTCAAGAAGTACTGGTCGTCCGTAAAATTTTCGGGAGTATTCATTGTTATGACTATTTTATTATTAAACGTTAAACCAAATAATAGGTTATCTTTAATTCTGAAAGTAGTTTAACCAATACTAGAAAACCACAATTATACGTCTAGAACGGCTAGGTTAGATGTAAGCTTAGATCAGTGCTGATCCCAACTTAAACCAGAGTTGTACAACCGACCTTTAAAGATAGAATTAGACCAGAATAAATTTTCTTTAGTGCAGATTTTTCTTACATATCTTATTATTAAGGTTTAGATATCATAATTGTATCTTAGAATCCAAAAAAGCTATAATTTACAGGCCGTGGTATTGAGAAAAAAACAAATTTGATACTTTTAATATCTTTGGGACAATTTGTCTAGTATAAAAGCAATTTTTAAAAATTACTATAATAGGACTTTATACACCCCAAAAGGAAAAACTTTTGAGAACCTTGCTTATATAGTTAGTTAGTGGTAATAGTATACAATGAATAGAATAGCTATAAAAAATATAAAGACCATTTTTCTAGACAATTTAATGATATATTATATTTTTTTGATAAAACTTTCTATATTCGAGATCTAAGTGTGTATGTGCGCATATAATGCAGAAAGCGACCCCATGAACTTTAAATCCTAGAAACGGTGAGTATGAGCGAAATAAATGTAAGGACCATTTTTGTCTACAATTGACATCTGAGATATTTTTTGGATAATACTTACCGCTTTCGAGACAAACCCAAAAAGCCAAAAATTTCGACATTCGCCCGTGAAACAGTTAGACTATTGGGCAAAAGTATACGGGGAGAAAAATGGAAGAATGAGAAATGTAGACGTCCGAACGTGTTAAAGGCCTCGAGGTGGGGAGTCGCGGCGGGACGTGTGACACAACCTGGTGGTACCTGGGACATTAACGTCGCCGTTTCGTCTCGATCTGCGATGGTGGTCCGGCTAAAAGAACTTAATGTCGATGTCCCCCGGACGGGACTTGTGATACGTGTAGATGTGCGTCATGAGCGAGTTCCTAGAGCAGTAGACGCGCTCGCATATGACACACCGGTACTCTTCTTGGCGTTCCGCGTGTTTGTCCGCGATGTGCCGCTTGAGGGATGCCTTCGAGCAGAGCACCTTACCGCACAGCTGACACGTGAACACCTTCTTGGACGCTACCCCTGCAACAACACGAGCCACTCACTGGCGTGTGCGCGTGCGCGGCACAAGGTGTCGCCACCAGAAGAACGTTTTCTCGCGTGCCCAGCCATCTCGATGACCGCACACACCCGCTCACGCGCGCCTCTCACCACCTTCAAGTGTGCTCACTCACAATGTGTCAATACTGGGACGTCAAAAGAACTTTATTGATGAATTTACTCGGCTTTGGACCCGGTATATCAAAAATCCGTTTTTTTTGTAGCTTCTTCGGGATAAAATAAAAGTACATTTGTCGTTTTATTTCCGATCATATAGAGAGTTCTCCAAACTCTACGGTCTGTTAGAAGTATATGGCCTCCGGTTGTTCCCTTTGGGAGAAAATCCTATGTTATATGCAATAACAAATTGGATTATAAAAATATTAATTTATTCTTATTTTCCGTTTTTGTTTTATATTTCCCATGAAAGCAGTTTATTGTAATTTTTAATATGTTGTATATTTTTTCTCAATAGTCTTGAAATATACTCGCGCGCTTCTAGGCTTTCAGCATATTTTAAAACTCGATGTGATTATGTTGAGCTGCACTCTATACGGTCTTCCCGCAAACCCTCTTGTTTTAAAGGGTGTTTGGAATAGCTAGAGATGGGAAATTAAACATTAGGTTGCGGCAGTAGGAGACTATGATCTCTATGAATCGCACATTTTCATTTTTTTAAATGAAATACTAATGTATTACTACATTTAAAAATTTTACGAAAAATTCTAAAACTTTCTATGTAACATACGCTAATGAGCTTTTTTGGGGATGATTATGATCACACACCAACTTCATTTTTTGAAATAAAATACTCTATGTATTATTCCATTTTTAGATTCTACGACAAGCCATAAAATTTTCAGTGTAACATACATTATATCTCTCTTGAGCCGTTTTCAAAATGATTAGAACCACACAGCAACGATATTTTTTGAAACAAAATCGTCTATGTATTCCATTTTTACTTTTTACGAAAAACTATAAAACTTTTTGTGATAAATACGTTAAAGCTCTATAGCTCCTGAGCTATTTTGAAGATGTTATTACTACATACAACTTATAAATTTTTATAATAAAGTACTCTATGTTTTTAGATTCTACGAAAAATAGTTATGCAGATTGTGCAAAATATGCAGGGTAGGTTCTCTCTATTTTCGTTTTTAAGATAAAGAATAAAAACATTTTTCCGCCACAAACAAACTACCCGTTATTTTAAACTGCAACACCAACTTCGATTTCAAATACCCTGTATAAATGTAAATAGGGACTGATTTTTAAATATATTTTACTATTTAAATACCACATCAAACATATTTTGAATCGTGTTGTAGTTTTTTTAGTGGTTTTTAGTAGTAAGCCATTGCGATATCGCGATATGATTGAATTAGACAGTATTTATTCAAACAACAATTTATTTATGTTACAAACAAATGGGGATATCTGTAACATAAAAATGTATTTCGTCTGTTGCCCATATTATTTTTTCCCAATTTATGCTGACTACTTCAAATAATTCTTTTTAAAAAGTTTGATATTTTATCAAAATCTGCGAGGGGTCAGTCCGTTGAAGAGATTGCAGTGTAACTAACCTACAATTATGCATTTTATTTGTATTTAAAATTAAAAATAAAAATGTATTCATAAAACTGTTTATTGACGTAAGAGTATATACATAAAATTACAGTTTTAAAGCTTATCTCTATTCTTTTTAAGTTTCGGGGCGAATTTGGGTAGAACTCATTTCAGTTACTGCATGTTCTTGCTGTCATTTTATTGGACTTGAATATCAAATAAGTGAATATAAAATATATTTAATAAATTCGCCATATCAAAATTAGTAAAGACCATAAAATGTTGAATAAATATTATCTAATTCAATTGTCACATACAAACTATTAAACATCGCATTATTCTAGTTTTATGCTTTTAGGCACAACACGATTCAGATTAGGTATATGTTATAAGGCTTTTAGATGAAAAACAGGAACAAAAACTCAACATTTAGGTGGTCTCTGTTTCTCATTCCATTGGCAAGCCGTAAGCAAAATTTCAGACTGCTTGAAAGATTATTTCATATCCAAAACTACTCAGAAAATTTCAGGATTTTTCGTAGAATCCAAAAATATAATATTATATTTAAAAAAATGAGGCTGGTGTCTTGTTGGAGTAGATGTGGCAATGCTGCAATATCCCAAATATTTGTCAACTACGTAGTTTCCCATGAACTCAATCCAATTTTTAAATGAGTATCTCTTTTTTTCTCCATATACTTCTAATAGTCCATCGGGGAATCCTGTATACTTAATATATATATATATATATATATATATATATATATATATATATATATATATATATATATATATATATATATATATATATATATATATATATATATATATATATATATATATATATATATATATATATATATATATATATATATATATATATATATATATATATATATATATATATATATATATATATATATATATATATATATATATATATATATATATATATCGACCAACCCGGCCCAAAACCCATCAATTCCTCGATTCCTTAATATGGACAGAGAGGCGGCAAAATTTTTGCTTTTTATTAATAATGCGGAGAAATTATTGCTTGACTAGAGAGTTTCTTTTAACTTTGAACTGTACAGTGCGTCCATTTTTCGTGGTTAATACGAGATATTATAAGAGCGTGCAAGATTTTAGTGACAACAACCTTGGGCTGCTTTTGTTTTTGAGATACAAAATAAAACAAAAATTGGCCATTTAAGTTAGGTTATGTATTTTAAACAATTCTCATCTCATCTCATAATGAGATGACATACATCTTTCTACGAAGAATCTCGCGGCGAGCTCAGATTTTTTCCCAAAGATATAATATTTAAATGGAATAGCCGGTCATTTACAGGGTGTTCTAGAAATCATCACGATACAGAGAGTTAAAAGTGCAAAGAGTAACTGAAATGGTAAAATTTTCTGTTTTTCCTGTATCTTAAAACAAAACTGGCTAGGATTATTTTCAAACCGGCTACGGCAACAAAAAATGGGCGCACTGTGCCACTATATTCATCTCCAATAGCCTAGATCCCTCCTTATTGGTGATGGTATTCCGTGCACAACTTTCCACGATAGACTTCACTTTATCATTGAGCCATCAATCTTGTAAATTACTCGTTTTTCAGTGGTAGCTTCCGTATGTTTTAAAATATGGGATACTAGGTTAATTAGCTGCAGAAGTATTGCTTTGATGTCCGGGTTTTCCAGAATCTTTCGAGGCATTTTACAAGCGTTTATTAGCTTTTTCGGGTAGCGACAATTTTGTTCTCAAAATTCCAATAATAACAGATCAAACATTAATTTTAGTGTTAGTGTAGATGTGCTCGTTTCGATTTGTATCAAACTCGAAATCGAAAATCCAATAGTTATAAATGTGGAATACAGTCCTTAACAAATTATTTAGTAATGATATTCGTGGTAACTGACTCAAATATTTGGAATCTTCTTTTAAATAATCTACCTAGGGTAGTAGAGCTCAGGAATAAATATAATAGTTATGACTCAGGATGTAGGGCGAGATGATGGAGCTTGTTAGGTCCACTCTTGTATTTTGTATTTTATACTTTTTGTTGGCAGTTACTTATTTTTTTTTCTGCTTCTGACAGTGACAATTTAGAACTACTAACTACTAAGTATTAAGTTTTCTTGTAAAGACTTAAGTAAAACCCTTTCAGTGAATTTGGGGGACAAGACAATTGGTTTCTCTTTCATTTCTATTTCATTTAGCATATTCACTGACGCCTACACTCTAGTGTTATGTGAATGCTAATCCTGTTACACATTTTGATAAGAAAATTCCTAGTCACAAAATGATCCATTGAAGCGAATACTGTCTATAAAACTTTACCATCGCTTGCCTACTTTATAATAAATTTTAAAATGTGGTAAATGTGGTTTGGTTACACTTGTTAAACTCAATTCCCAACCACAGAAGAATTTACTGGAAAAATGGCGCGTCAAGAAGAGCAGGAAAAATCGACACAGACGGCTGAAAAATTGAAAGAGTATGGCCAATAGCAAGAGTGTTTGCATGCATTATAATATCAAGAGAAATGAAGAAAGAAAAAGATTGCTAAATGAGATCCGAGTTAGTTCTGGATGGCCATAATGCATTAAACAAGATAGCAAGACAGAATAAAGTGGTGACACGAAGGCAACAAATGAATGCACATGACAAAACGAAAACATGCCAGGCAGTTCTCCAGAGGTCTCCCAAAAATGAAGGAAACTACCACATATATGCTATACCAATAAGAAGGTGCGTTTTCATCTGTTGGGAGTTACCAAACCAGAGGCAACGAGTTACAGTATCATCAAAGATCTGTAACTATGAATAGGGTCACAATGGATCGTTGAATCTAGTGCCCAACTTCAACGAGTTTTCAATTGCCTATAATAGTAATGATTAGTATATACTGAACGGAAACAAATCGTTTGAATTTTAAATACAAGTCGCTTGACTGGAAGCAACTACATTGTAAAACGAGCAATTTACTCCGTCAGGTCCACATGGTGAGCACACTGAAATACTTGGTCGGCGTGAGAACCGACTCGCATTTGCTAACGGGGTCGGGCGGGGATGATCCAAGAAGGTGTTCTTTTGTGGCTGGCGGTTCCCTTTCCATACGTCGAATTGTCTCGACGCGATATCGGCCGACACTCGCTTTATTGCGTTTACAAGCCCGAACACTTTCCAGAGAGTGGCGGATCAACGAGAGCGAACATTTGACAGACCTTCCGCGGTGCTTTGTTCGAAGTTAAATTCCGCGGTCGAAACGCGCTATTATCAGTAACAGACAGCGAGTTAAGCAAGCCGATATAGATTTGAACAGAGGCGATTTTCATAGAAAGCGCCACCTGGCATATTAGGCTTCGTAGGTTTCAGGACAGTGGTAGGAAGGAATTCGCTTT